CCTAAATGTTATTGGGGTTCCTCTAATCAGGCTTGTTTTCTAGTACTCTCTCCCCTCTCAATTTCCACACATTGCTCACTTGTCTCATGACCCAATTCTCACTCCACCCTACTTACAACTGAGAGGACACCTATGTCTTCTCCCATAGGCTACAGCTTCCCATAGCGCTGAGCACTGCAATCTAATAAACGCTTGCCCTATGTTGGATAACAATCTAGAACAGATGTTTATAAAGTATGGTTGTGTGTCATTCTTTCAAATGCAAATGACAGCAACCCAAATGGGCTTAAACAACAAAAAAGGGAATATAGGTAACTGAAAAACCAGGAATGTATCTTGTAGCTTCAGGAGGAGCTGGATCCAGGCTCTCTCTTCTTCAGGCTCCACTCCTCTCTGCCCAGGCTCAGTGCCTGGCATATTCTCCCCACATGGTGGTAGTTCCAGTATCATATCTTTCTTGCCCCAAGTCCAGCAAGAAAACAAATTCTTCTTAGTTCTGACAAAAGCCCCAGACATGAGTCTCAGTGTGTGACATCCCTGAACATATCACTGTGGTTCAGGGAATAGTGAATCTTGAGTGGGGCAGCTCCCTTACAGGGGTGGTCCCTGTAAGGAAAGATGGGAAGATGTGCTTCCAGAAAACAGGAACTGGATGCTGAGAAGTGGGCATATATGAATGCTAGGATCAGGCAGGGACATCAAGAGCCAGTGTAGGCTCCCCAAGAGCAAGTCCTGACTGCTGAGTTCATTTCCTTTTTGATTGGGATATTGACCTGTAGATCTGGGCAATGCTGAAGGCTCATGAGTCTCTGGAGCTCTGCAGATCTTTCTGTTTATTTTGTGGGTACAGCAGTGAGTTGAGGGATGGGTCAGAGGCTTCCTCAGTGGACAAAAGAGAAGCTAACTTATTGCCCTAGTGCAGTCTCCAGTGGGGAGTCACTAGATTCTGTTCCTGGCCCTGACCTCAGCAAACTGTTTAGTAAGGATGTGGTTGAAGCTGCAGCTTGGTTGAAGGAAAGTATAGAAGACTTCCTGATCTCATTTGAGAATGACAGGAAGCTGAAGAAAATAGCAAGTACTCTGCCTGACAGCCTCCACATCCTGAGAGGGCTCCATATGGGAAAGAGGGATTAGATGGAATATGATGGAATAGAATTGGGATGAATTGAAGTCTCTGCATTTAAATTTAGAAAGCCAGCAATCTAAGAGTAGACAGGAAACACCCAGTTGTTGACAGTACCTATGGTACAGCTCTAGGCACAGTTCCTCAAAGTGTGGGACCAATAGAAATAGTTGGTAGGGAGTGGAGAGGGCTTGGTAAAAACACAGTTTCCTAGACACCTCCCCAGACATATGGAATCAGAACAGGGATAAGGAAAGGCCTGGAGATTTGTATTTGAACCAATATCACAGGAGCTCTGGCCCACCTCCAAGTCAGTGATGGCCTTACCAAGAACTCCCCAATCCAGTGGGCACTAACAGCCCATGTCACTGGCCAGCAGGTGATTTGACTCTTACATGTGTATTGGGCCATGAAGGAAGGAGATGTGCCATGAGGACAGGATTCCCTTCAAGAGGTGCCTTCAGAAGAGTGGCCTCGCTGGAGAGCATCCAAACAGGTAGCAAGGACAGGCCTGTGACAGAAGCAGAACTGTCTGGACTGAAAGGAAAAGATTCAGGGATTGACAAAGGTTTTGTCTCCTGAAGTAAAAGAACAAGTCTTCTGAAATAATAGAAGCTAAAAAGGAATTGGACATACTCGATGTAGCCCCAGATGAAGAACCCAAAGAAGGGCAGATTCCTGCTCCCCAGAGAGAAAAATACCTGGCTAGCACGTGCTTAGAGATGAGATCCACACTCTGTTACTGGTATATTGCAAGGGAGACTACAGAAATTTGTTGAAGGTTACCAACCATGTAGGCCAGGTCAGGCCTCTCCCCTCCAAGTCTGGGGCTTAAGGGCAAAGAAGGTTGGAGATGTCAGGAACCCTGCTCCTATCTGGCCATCTACGAAACAAGCCCTTCTTGGCAGCCCCCACTCTGGATTCTTAGGCAAAAATATCTTCCTAAGAACTGAGTGATTGAGGGAAACATTCATGTGAGGATCTGGGGACAGAGTGTTTCTGGAAGAAATGAAAATAAGAAGGCACAGAGATGGGGATGAGCTTGGGTGCTTGAGAAACAAAAAGTCCTATGGGCTCTAAGTCCATGGCCAGGGTGTAGAGAGAAGAGTAGCAGACAACTGATAGAATTACACTGCCTGATCCTCTGGGGCAGGGTGGGGGTTGCTGTATCAGTTCTGGCCAATGAATTGAGTGGAAGCATCACAATGACAAACCTCACTTCTTCTGGACTTAGCCATTGATTGCTGATGGGTGTACCTAGAGTTCCTTTTTCCTCTACCTCACTGATCAACAATATCCCAGAGAGTAGCTGCTTTGTGAGCCTGTGTCTTAGAGTAAGGATGATCTGGAGCAAGCAACCCATTATGGGCAAATGAGAAATAAGCCTTAGTTGATTTTAGCCACTGAGAGGACTGATTGAGGACTGATTGTTACCATATCATAAACTATACTATCCTGACTGCTACACAGGCCATTCCGTTCCACCTCAAGAAAGAGGGTTAGAGAAGTGAATAGAGCAAACAAATTGAACAGAGACCCTTCCTTTCCTACACTCCAAATTTATCTCCAAATTCTAATCCTACAGCATAAAATGCATGAAGAGGAAATATAAGGAGCATGGACATTGAAGTCAAACCTCCCAGGGACCCATCTCAGCTTTTCTCGCAATCATTGAATAAGGCTGGAGCTTGACATATGGCAATACCCCTCTCCAAACCTCAGTTACCTGAGCTGTAGAATGGGGAAAGTCATGTTCATTTAACAGAACTGCATGTGAAGATTAAACCAAATTATAAATATAGTCAAGGACATCGCAGAAAACACCACACTCCATTATATCGTTTTAAACCCCAGTCCCCAACCTTGGAGCATTGTCCTCAACCACTTCCCTCCAGTATCCACACCCCAGCTCTCATCATCAACCTCACTCCATGGGCCCCAACTGCAGGTCTTACTACTATTTCATCTCTCCCACCACCTCTTTGGGAACAAAGTGGAGAGTGGTGTCAAAGGGAACAGCCTGTTACACATTGCTTCCTCAACACACACGCGCTCTCTGCTCTCTTTCCCCAGCAGACCCAGAGTACATACAAACAATCCCTGAAGCATAATTCAAAACCCAGAAGCTGGTGGGTATTTGTGAACATCTTCATTTGGGCTCATATAAGGTTAATTTTGCCTATTTTTTAGTTAAAATTTTAGGTCCAAAGATTTCAATGGCTTCTATTGAAAATTTAAAAGATATTCCATAGTGCCCCTCCCAACTGGCACCTGGAGCAGAAGAGCCAGCTGCCCCTTTAGCTGGGACTCTGTGTCAGTCCCAGCGAAGTCATTGCTTCCTTGGCTCTGCCATCCAGCTCTGTGGATGTGTCTCTGAACACTAGATGCTTTTTTTTTTTTAATGTAGAGTTAAGAGGAAAGCAGAACATTTCTCATCACCCTTCTCTATCAAAAGTGGAAAACAAAAGACAGACCAAGAGAGGGCCTCGTGTTTCAAGAAATATAAGAGAGCTCATATCTCTTTGTGCAAGCGAAGACCATTCTTATCCTGCCCAGCGAGCAGCACCAATTTGTATTATCGACCGTCTGTCCCCTGTAGGCGTTTTAGTTTGCGACCCCGCCGTTACCCTTCTCATCCCTCCAGACCCAGTGTAGGACCCTCTCCCCGCGCGCGCGTTTGTCATTTTCTCCTTCAAGACAACCCTGTTTATTTTAACCCGATTAGGGAATGGGGGTGGGGAACAGAAGACTCCAGCAGCGGTCAATGCGGGAGGATCCAGGAGGCAACGTGACTTGCCCAAGGTCACAGAAGTAGAAGGCGGAGGCGCCTAGACCCTATCCGAGGTCTCTCTAGCGGCCAAAGCCCAGCTCCTTCTTTCACGCCCACGTCTCCCGCGCGCTGCGCTCTCCCGGCGCAAACACCTAGCGCCCAGCAGATGCGCCCTCGGGTTGTTTTCCTTAGGCGCCAGCGCCCTAAGGTTAGGGAAACCTTGGATCACGCTGGATCCACTGGGCTACGTGGTTGTGACTGCGGTTGTCCCCAAGTCTGGCCTGCCGGGTACTGGGGGTCCCGGCATCTCCGCACGCGGCCAGGGCCTGGAAGCTCTCCCGCAGTCCCCCTTCCAGCCGCGGGCTAGCGGCGTACCGCGGCGCGGGGACGGCCTCCGAGCGCAGCCGGGAGGAAGGGAGTGGGGTGCTGTGGGGGGAGAGAACTGCAGCGGAACCTGCCCGGACACCCCTGCCCCAGACGGATCTCCGCAGGCTGGCTCCGCGCCGGGGTCGCCGCAGCCTCGGGCCCCTCCCGGGCCACCTGTGCGCCGGCTGGCGGGCCCGGGAGAGCCCGGATCCTGAGACCTAATCCGCTCCGGGTTTCAGGCTCCTGCCCCGGCCCCCGGAGGCCGCGCGGGGCGGTGGACGGCCTCCCCACCCGATACCCCTGTCCTTCCCTGGGGGAGCCTCGGGCATCGCCAGGAGGGATCCCCGGAGCTGGGGGTGGCCCGAGCGTGCGGCGTGGGGCGGCTCAGCCCCTCCTTTCTCCCCCCGCCCCGCCCTGCCGCCGCCCCGCTCCGCAACTCCAGTCCGGGTTTTGCGGCGCCCGCCGGCCCGCTCCCCGGCTGCGGGCTCCGCGCGGCGGCTGGCTCGGTGCGCGGCGCGGCTGGCGCTGCGCTCCGCCCCGGCTGCATTGCTGCTCTCCGGGTGCCCAGGGGAGCCTCGCGCCGCGTGCGCCCTGAAGCCAGCCACCCAGAGGCAGCTCAGTCCGCTGGCATGGGCCCCGGGGGCGCCCCGGGCAGGGGCTCTGGGCTGAGGCGCTGAAAGCCGCCCTCCCGCCCGCGGGGCCCCGCGCGCGGCCGGCGAGCCCGCCTGCCCGCCCGCGGCCATGGCCGTCCGGCCCGGCCTGTGGCCAGCGCTCCTGGGCATAGTCTTCGCCGCCTGGCTCCGCGGCTTGGGTGAGTCACGCGCGCGCTCTGGGGAGGGTTGCGGGGGACCGTGCGCGCGAACGCTCGCTGCACTGGGGGGTCCTCGACCCGAGCTGCTGGACCGGGCTGGGAGCCCCCCGAGGCCAAACTTTGCGAGGCGGGACGTGGGGGCTGCCTCTCACTGCTGTACTGCTTCCCTGCGCGCTTCTCCGGAAGCCTGGGTTGTGCCAAGTCCAGGAGCAGCTGTCAGCGCACGGGGCTCGCGAGTGTAGACGCCCCACGCCTCCGGGCGGGGGAAGTTTGCTGTTTGCCCTGCCTCAGAGAAGGGTCGGGGTTTCGATCAATGCCCCGGAGAGCCTGACTTTGAGGGTCATAGATTGGAGGGTTTTGACCACATCCCAGTGCCCAGGAAATTGAAAAGGGGTATTAAGATACCTCTTGCCGGTAGCATCTGCCCCAAACAGCTACTCACCATCTCCCAGCTTGGCACCTGGCCTCTGCCCACGTCCGGAACACAATGTCCTCCTCTGTCCCTGCCACACACGCTCGCACACGCACACACTCAGGCATGGAGGCACATACAAGGGCCTCTGGCCCTTGCAGCCATCATAGTCAACGCGCCATGGCCCCCGCTGGGGCTAGGGCTCCTCGCCTCCCTGGTGCTTGGGACCAGAGTTGTCTGCAGTGGGTCCACTGCCATTCCCCTTCTCCTTTCACTCCACAACCTCATCCTCTCTTCACGTCCCTTTGACCACCCTAGCCTACCCCTAACTTGCCCAGGAACTCTACCCTCAACCTACCTCCTTGGGAAGAGGGGGGTTCCCCTGCATCCTTTGTCTGCTCACCCTGAGCTTCAACCTAGGCTGAGCTGTTGGGGTCTCCTGATCTCTGCCTCCCCGCCCCCTGCCCCCCGTCCCCCGCCCCCCCCCATGCACTTAGCAGAGCTGAGCTTCTGTGTGTACGTGTGTGTGTGGGGGGGTGTCATCTGTGTGTGTTCAATGGGAGGTATGGGGCTTGCCCTAGCAATTCTTGATTCTTGCTGCATGGAGCACCTGGGGGTGGGGGGAGGTGCCCTCCAGCCTGGTCAGACCACTTTTAATCTCTGGAGTGTCAGAACAGAGCGCTGGGGTGCCTGCAATGTGAAGCCAGACTGATAGGAGATCAATGCGTGAGACTTCAGAGACCAACCCAATGATTGAGCTGATGGCTGTTTCCTTAAAGGGTGTCTGCGTAGTGTCTTGCACCCACCACTGACTGACTGCTCTCCCCATCCTGATCCCCTCAGTCCTTTCTCCACCCCCTCCCTTCCCACCACTCTATCTTCCTTCTCCATCAGTCCCCCCTCTCCCCACTGCCCCATGCCTTCCTGCCCCATAGTCTCCCTTCCTAATCCTGGTCAGGTTCAGGGGCTGTGCTGCCGCTGGGTATGTGTTCATATTGCACACATGTGCATTTTAGGAGTGTGTGTGCAACATTCGGGGGATGTGGGTTGCACCAATGACCATGGTGAACTGGAGGTGTCTATGCTGCACACATGGGGGAGGTGTTGCCAGATACCGAGTCGGTGCCCAGAAAATGTGGATTGAGTTGGATGTGTGTGACAGGGCTGTGTGGTCATATCTGCATGTTGCCCACGTGAGCACATGTGAAGGCCGTGGGGTGGCATGTGTGCCCTGGTGATGGCAGGGGCTGGCGGTGTGGGCAGCATGGGTATGTGTGGCCCGCTGCACGTGTGTGATGGCTGTGAGCAGCGGCCCAGGCGAGCATGTGTAAATAAGGGGACTGTGCTAGTGATTCAGGGTGCCGCAGCCTAGGGAAGTGCCACATCGATTCCTTGGGAGGCCCTAGAGTGGGGGAGCAGCATCCTTGGTTGGTGGGCCACCTGTTGGGACCTGCTTCAAGGTTGTCCAGGGAGCTGGCAGGTGGGCTCCTGTGCTACAGGGCAACCATGGAGCAGAACCTGCCTCTGGGCATCAACTGTCAGGCCTGTGGGAGGAGCTGCTGAGGGAATAGGGGGCCCATCTCATCTGGGGCCCCGTGCTGAGGGCACATGTGCCCTGGCAGCCTGGCCCTGCGATGACCCCACTCTTCCTGCACCGCCCATCAGCTCCTCAGCAACAGCAGGCACTGAAAAATGTGTCTGTGAGTGGCTGAGGGAGGGATGGCCAGGCGGGCGGCAGGGGGCGCCGGGGGCTAGCATGTCCGCAGCCTCCTGCTCTCCTGGCCAAGCGCCACCCTCTGTCGCCTAACATCACACACCTCCACCTCACAAAAGGCGGGCCCTTATGAGGGTGGACCCCTCTCTGTCCCCACACACAGGGACCTGTCTGTCTCAAGGATCTTCTCATTCACACCCAGTCGCACAGCTGGCACCTGCCTCCCTGCCCTCTGGCCACATACACCTGACCGTCTCCTGGTCACACAGATCTCTGCCCTCCTAGGGGTTCCATGGGGAGCTGGCTTTCCTGAAAGATCTGGCTGAGGGGTAGCGAGCCGTGGCATTGCCCGTCCTTGCCTCAACATTCTGTCCTGGTGACGCCTTGCTCAGGACTGGTCCTGGACCCCTCTGTCCACCCCCACCCCAGCTGGAGCAGCTGTTTGGGAGGAAGGTGTCTTAATTGGGTTTGGGACACCCCCTACAGGTACTGCTAGGAGAAGGCTGGTCCTCTCACGGTTCAGCCTGCTCCCCCTTGCCCATGTTGGGGGAGGGGGGCTCGCTCAGGAACCAGGGGATTGACATTGGTCCTGGTGCCTGACCCCCAATGAAGAGATACTGACCTGGGCAGTATCTCAGGGGCCTGGGCACCTCCTGTCTTATATCCCTTCTTCCTGTCTGGTGCTGCCCTGGGCCCCAGATCAACAGGCTCAGTCCATGCAACCTGGAAGGCAAGAACCTGCCCTAAACTTGGGGTGGGAGACCCTTTCTCCAGACAGACACCCCAGAACTGGGCTTGGCTGCCTTCTTAGAACATACCTACATGCTAGGCCTGTCATTCCAGGCCAGCCCTGTCCTCTGCCCACCCGCAGACCCCTTCACTCCCAACCCCAGGGCTGGAAACCTTAGCATCTCAGCCCCCCTTTCTCCTTCACGCTTCATGTCTAACCCATTGCCAAGTCCTCCGGCTCATTCCTACTTGTGACATTGCTTGTATTCCTCTCCTTTGTTGTCGCCCCTTTCTCCTTCACCTTTCTCACCGAGACCAGTGCTGCTCCCCCTCCTGTGCTTCCTCCACTTAAACTATTGTCCCTTGTACCAGGCTAGAACCTTCAGAGGCTCCCCAGTATCTGCAGGTAAAGTCAAACCCCAAACCTGGGGCCCTGGGGGAAGCCCCCCTATCACCATACTGCCAGCATGCATCGCTTGGCTGATCCCTCATGAAGGTGGATGTCCTCCTGGCTCTGACTTGCTGGCAGTTGGGCATCTATACCCCCAGACAATCTCTGCCATCCACACTGTAGCTCCCTTGCCTTGAAAAACCTGGCCCTGCCTGCCACGATCCCCACCCTATACCCCAACATCCTCGGCTCTGTCCAGACCCAGGTCTACTGGGCAGGACCCTCCCTGCCCACTGCCACCTCTCCAAGCAGAGATGATCCCAGATGTGTCTTCTGGGACCCAAACCTGCAGACTCAGGACCCTGGGATGTGGGACTGAAGGGCACCAAGCTATGGCACTGCCTATCTCCATCCTCACAGTCTGTCCCGGTGGCCCCTTACTCAGGCCCCTCCTTACTCTGGGCTGGCCTTCACACCAGCACTTCCTTGCTCTATGTAGCACCTACGTGGGGCTCCTGGTTCCTGAGGCTGAGTCCCAAGAGACTGTAGCCCCTGGGCCCTGGCCACCCTTTCTGCCCAGATAGACTTAGCTTCCTGTGACCAATTCTACCAGCCACCCCTTCACTCTGCTGGTTTGCTGCATGAAAGTGGCAGTGAAGGATCCTCTTGCTTCTGGGGAGCGTAGGCCTCATCTTCAGTTAGATGGAATAAAAAAGGCAGGGGCTTTGGAGGCAAACAGAACTAGGATTGAGTCCAAGCCACTTGACCCTGGACAAGTAACTTTTACTCCTTGGCCTATTTCCACATCTATAGAATGGGGTCACATCTACTTCCCGGGATTATAGGGACAGGTTTACGGTGACATGGAGAGAGGATCTCCCTCCTCTATTTCCTCTGGCATTTGAAGGGGCACATATTAGGACAAAACTGGGCTCTTAAGATGTAAAACTGGGGTCTTAAGGGCCCAAGCTGAGAGGTAAGAGAGAAACCATCTGTGAGCTAGATGGGAGAGTCAGTCTTCACCTCTGGCTGCTCCAGCTCCAGGCAAAGCCCCAAGGAGGAATCATTGCTCTGGGTAGAAGATGTCCTCCTATCCCTGACCCTTGCAATCTGTACACACCATCCCCTGCAGGGACTTGGGCCTGATTCAGACACCGATTCCTCCAGTGTGCAAAGAGCTTTGTTTGGGGCTTCTGTGAAGATGATAATTTGAGCCAGCCTGGCCTGGAACTGTGTGCTGATGATCAGCTCTGATACCCAGAACATGGTAACAAAGGAGGGTAGGAGCCCTGGCTGAAACTCACTTTTCATCCTGATTTTGCCTTTTGATTACTGTGTGGTCTTGGACAAATCACTTAACCTCTCTGGCTGTTTGCTTCTTTGTATACAGACTTGATAACTCTTTTGGGACAGAGGCTGCTGCCCAGGGAGGCTGTCTTCAGAGTCTGGGGGAAAGGGGGACTATACATTCAGCACAGTTTCCTCCAAGAACTGCTCACACCTGCCAGCACCTGCCAAAGCCAACAACCACCCAGCAACAGCTGCCCAGGTTGTACTTGTTCAACATAAATTTTGTGCCCTACGCACTTCCCTAATCCATGCCCTGATCCCAACCTAGAAAATCCAGGCGGCTCTAAGGCAAAGATGGGAATTGGGAATCCCAGCACCAAAGTCAGGAAGCAGGGTCCTGCTGTAGCTGGTCATCACCCCCAATGGCAAAAACAGATCTTCCAGGGCACCAAGAAAGTTACAGT